AGTAATGGGGACTCCCCTCCACCACAAACAATGTGCAGCCCCACCTGGATGATGCGACGGCAGCCATAGTGCGCCAGAACGCTCACCACACATCAGCTCTCAGTGGGGAGGAGAGCAGAGTAATGAAGCCAATTCATAGATGGGGATCATAAGGAGGCCATGATGGGTAAGGGCCAATGTGAAATGGGGCCAGGAAACCAGGGTTACACCCCTACTCTTTTCGAGAAACACCTTGGGATTTTAAATGACCACCGAGAGTCAGGACCTCGGTTTTACGTCTTATCTGAAGGACGGCGCCTGTTTACAGTATAGTGTCCTCGTCATTATACTGGGGCATTAGTACCCACATGGACCGCAGGGTGAGCGCCCCCTGCTGGCCCCACTAACACCTCTTCCAGATAGTGCTGTAGAGTCTATTGTGGTGCAATCTTGAGTTGGGGACAGTATATGATGGTATTTATACTGAATGCGCAGTCATATAAAATAATTACTCATGTATTTTTTTAGAAATAACCACTGTTTTTAATTTCTCCTAGGGGTATTACAGTTAGCTGAGAGTCGATTTAGCAATAGAGTAAAAAATATAAGCCAGGGTGATAACTCCAGCATCAAATGATAAAAAAAAACAAAAAAAGATTTTAACTTGCTTGCTTTAATGTGCTAATTCTTGCTTCCACCAAGTTGGCTTTCACGGTTTTGACCTTTCAGGGTTTGACTTGTATAGTCTGGCATGATAAGCAGGTGATTCACATTGTCTTGATGAGAGATAGATAATTTTCTTGTCGTCCATATTCAAGCTCCAGTTTGCCATCTTGTTAGGGGCTAGTTTTAGATAGCACAGCTCATTTTTTTCAATTCAATTTTATTTAGTTCAGTTTTTTTTTGTCATATGCACAAGTGCAATGCAATCCTTATAGCATAATAGTTATAAACTACAGCTTACAGCTGTAGTATATAATGAGGAAAATACCATCCTTCTATTACTCTTCCCCTGGTGACATTACACTATATTAGAATACAGTGTATGTTTTAACTATGCCTCACCTGTGCCTGTAAAGTCTTATTAATCTCTTTCTAATCTCAGATGTGTACAGATGTGAAGCTCAGGGCTACTGGAGGTCTTTGAATCGCAGTCGGGATTTGCCAAAATGTGTTGCAGGTAGGAATCAATACTATTCATTTGAATCCACCGGGATACTTTGTTGTATTCTTTATTATAAATTTTGGAAATTGTAATACGGAAACATATATTAAGCAATTATTAAAGTAAAAGTAAGTTTTAAACACTCCCTGACTAAATAAGGAGCTGAATCTGTATCTCTTTAACTTTGTGTTAATAAGTTTGTGCAGCCATATCAACTGGCAACTCACAACTGGCAACCCACTGAGGCAAAGCAGGTGTGAACCTGGCTGACAAGACATAAAAACGAGGTCCCAACTCTCTTTGGTCATTAAAAATCCCAGGCTGTTTCTTGAAAAGAGTAGGGATGTTACCCCAGCATCCTGGTCAAATTTCCCATTACCCTTTACCAATTGTGGCCTCCTAATAATTGACATCTGTGAATTGGTTTTCCTCCCCACTATTTTCTCCTCCCTACTGATGGTGTGTGGTGAGTGCACTTGTGCATCATCCAAGTGGGTGTGAAACAATGGTGGTGGTGGAGGGGATCTCCATTACCTGTAAAGTGCTCTGAGTGGAGTTTCCAGAGAAGTGCTATACAGTATAAGTGTAAATAATTATTATTATTGCATTATCGAGAGTGTGATAATATTCTTTAGCTCTGATAACTCTGCATTTCTCTCTACTTTTCTGTCTATTTTATTTATCTTTTTTTCTTTCAGTGTGTGGAGAACCTGAGATTGAGAACTCTGATTTCGGACGTATTTTTGGAGGCAGTGAGGCAAAGCTGGGTCAGATCCCCTGGCAGGTCTATGTTAATGATCCAAAAGGAGGAGGATCTCTGATCTTCGACCGATGGGTTCTCACATCTGCTCATGTGGTCGAGGGGAAGGACAGTCTGCTGATGTTTGGGGGGACAGTGGACATTGGCCATTTAGGGGACTCTAATAACACTGTAACTCTGGAGAGTGAGAAGATCTTCATCCATCCAGGATACCTAGAATCCCCAACAACTGGGAGACGTACCAATTTTAACAACGACATCGCCCTGGTCAGACTGAAATCCCACGTACCCCTGGGACCCCATCTTCTCCCCATCTGTCTCCCAGAGAGGAGAGACGATGGGACTCTGATTCCTGAAAGACTGGGGTTTGTTTCAGGATGGGGCAGGACAGAACATGGCACACTGAGCTCGAAACTGTTGTATGTCAAGATCCCTGTGAAGAACAGAGCCACCTGCTCCAATAGGAAAGATGGAAAACCATTGGTGCAGAGTTTCAGCGAGAACATGTTCTGTGCTGGTGAGCAGGGCAAAGATAGCTGCAGTGGAGATGGTGGTGGTCCCTTCTTCCTCCGAGAGTTTCGGCGAGGAGCAGGAGGACAGATAGAAAGGGGTCCATTCCGTCTCTACGGCATTGTGTCCTGGGGAATGATCTGTCAGGAGAGGGGTTACTACACTAAAGTGGACAATTACCTGGACTGGATCAGAGAGACTATTGAGAGGGAGGAGAGCTAGAGATATTTGAACAAGAGTAGACTAAATTAGATGTTAGAGCACCAGATTTGTTGGTTTACATGGTACAACAAGTTGTTACATTCATGTTGGATAATCGTTTTCTTTGTAGGCTGAATTAGCCTAATTTCGATTAGATTTTGAGTTAAATGAAGCATTTTGATACATGAGCAAAGTGGATAATTAAACTCTTGATCCAGAGTGCCGAAAACCTATGGTATTAACAGTAAGAACGTGTTAGAAAGCTTTCAGAGGTTCTAAAGAAAAATAAAAGCACTTGATATGGTAGTCTGATTTTCTCATTTGCTGTTGTCCGCACACAGTCTTAGTGGAAAGTGCAGCTCTGTATTGTGTTAAGTGAAATAGAATTCTCTGAATTAGCTTGATTTCTGGTCTCTTCCCACAGCTTGAACTGCAGAAGTATACATCAGATTGTAAGTCCGGCAATGACTTTGCCGATACCTTTGAGGAGGTTACATAGTATCAGGTCCCTTCACAGCCGTCTTTGCCCAAGACCCTGTGCAGCAAAGCACCCCAACCCATGATAGTTCCACCACCATGATTGGTTGTTGGGATGAGGTCTTCTGTAGAAGACAGTTTTTGGTTTTTACTACACAAAATGTTTCTTGGAGAGGCCTAAAAGTTCACAAGTCCAGAGAACATTCTACCAGACATCTTGTGAAAACATGGACATCAGTCATAGTATTATTTTTGTGCTTTACATCTCAAATATAAGAGAATTTGGACTAAGGTAGGGATTTCATTAACATTTGCACTGTGCCATATTGAAGATAATACCATTAACTGAATATACTGACCTTTAAAATTAACTTCTAACAGTCTTCCATGGTAGAATTTGTGCCCTATGGAAATCTGCAATTATTCTATGGCAATCCATTGTAAAGGGCACGATAACCAAGATTGATTTATAAAGTATGACGATGAATGTGTAGTTTATAAAATGGAGACAATACATTTTATTACAGTTCTTTTTAGTGATAGAAAATAGTATTACAGAAATACTCTAAAAGTGATCTGATCATATTAAGCAGTACATAAAGTAAGAATGTAGTCGACTTGTAGTAGAATGTAGTAATGATACATGGTAATCAGAGTTTTGTAACAGCATACTTTCAAACACAGTGTCAGTGGTAACTTCAAAAAAGAACTCTTGGGTTACAGCTCTCGCAGACACACACCTGTCTTTCCACCCCTGTATCCCTGGAATACTCAATCCATTTAAAGTAAAATAGAGACCATAAACGGGACTTAAGCAAGAACTTAATTCTAAGCAAAAATGGTAATTTACCATATTGCAAAGCAAACAACTCATATTCCCTGCTTTGAGTCCACAAATTTGGCTACACTTTTAGCCCAAATAGTAAGCATCCTAATTTTCATACCCTGGTATCTGGCGGGATTATACATTTTTACATTTTCATTGCTGTCATACAGACCCTAATAATCTGTCATTTCAATTTCAAAATTTTGAAACTTCTGGCAACAACAGCAACTCCTTTGACAAAGGACTTTTATACATAGTTTCAAAATTTTAAAAGCTTGCATTATTAATAATTGCTTGAGTCATCAGGTGGGGAGTATTTTATCCCTTAAATGTTAGGTGTCTCCTAGGTCATTATCGTCATTTGTTTTTATCTTCAGTGCGTTTATGCATAACAAGGGGTGTGGAATGCCAATCTTTAAAGGGAATGTAATTGTCCTGAACTTGTATTTTTATGGCTCCCTCCTAGTGGTAGCTCTTTTGATTTTCTATATCTTGTTCTGTAAATAACTTCCTATGTTAGGTCTTACAACATGAAGTAGTATAAAATTATAGCCGGAAGGTTTGAAGTTAGTGCACAAGTGTGGTATTCCTTATATATCTGTGTTCTGTGGCCATAAGTATTCATTATGTAACACTTCATACCCTTCTATTTTTTAAGATGAATGTAAAATATTTTTGGAGTCCTGTAATAAACATAATATTGATAAAATGTTCGTATCATTTGCATTTTGCAGTTTCACACTTTCTTAGAGTTCTTTGGATGAGTGCTGGGCTGACTTTATAGTATAGGTGGAGAGGAGCTGCATTCAGTGAATCCAGGGCAGGAATTTGCCAGTAGAGGCAATCAAAAGCCTCCATTAATTGTAAATAGACACACTAGGTGGTATTTTTTTTTGCAGCAGGAGATTATTAATAGTTAATTCCACACAGAAGTAATTAGTGAATTAGTTGGGTATATAACCATTTAATCAAAATTGGTAGTAGTTGTTTATTACAGCTCATCAAAGACCTCTTATCAGTTGTAAATAGACACACCGGATGGTAAGTATTAGAAGCAGGATATCGGTGGTTAATTTGACATTCTCACATGGAGTTAATTAGTGGATTATTTGGGTATATAGGGGGTTTAACAAAGTTGATGATGGTTGTTCTTTTTATATTGATATGTGTAGGTTGCATTGGAGTCTAGCTGTTGAAAATCCTGCAGTAAAGTATACTGGATTCAACATTTGTAAGACTGTGGTCTATTCTGTGGTTGGGATTGTTTTTTTGGGGGGGACGATCACCCTGATTACTAACAACCTATCACCTTGCACAGTCATATATCTACCAACAAAGTTCTGCTTGTGAATGTTTAACAAGTGTCAGCACTACACCCTTGGTAGATATGAGTAATGTGATCTTGATGGAGAAAAATCTGAAAACATTTTTCCTCGCAGCTGGAGCAATGGATATAGTCAAATATAATTACAATGACAAGTAAACCCCAGAGGAAAGCATGTAGACATTCATACACATTTAGGTTGTTACGGGATACCTCATGTTGTGATGTTATCCATATATTTTTTTTTTCAAAATCTAACTAATTTCCAAAAATTAATACCAGGTTAATGATAATCTGATAAACTCTAATACATGGCGCTAAAGGGGTTAACAGACCTGATTGCACCGAGAGTGGAATTTGCACTTTAGTGAACAAACAAATGGATTAAAAAACTAGCATCAAATTTGCAATACAACAGCCATAACATCCCCTGCTGTATTTCCCTTCCTCCTTCTTATATCATTCAATTTTTTTAAACAGTGACAGAGACAAACATTAACCTCCTTGATTTCTTGCTGTGTATCTCTCTCAATCTGTCACTAAGTCACTTGTTTCTGTTTCAAGCAGTGTTTCCTCTGAATGATAAATTCTAGCTTTTCTCTCCCTCTGTCGCTGCTCTGTGAACTCACTTCTGCTTCTGGCAGTTTGTCATTGTATCTTTGTGTTTTGGAGTGCTAATTGGCTAGTAAGAGGTGTGTGGGAAATGAAGATTTGGACTGTTCCAACACAAGTGAGGCATAGTATGAATCTATCCATCCATGTTCCTTGGTGAGTAAAACACCCTCCTCTTCTCTTTTTATGTATGGACTCATATAATTATGCAGAAAAGGACGGGAATGGTGTCCAAACATTCATACTGATGTGTCGTTCTGTGCCTGTGAGAGAGAAACATATTGTAATGTGTTTTGTGCTCCTACTAAAGTGACTCAACGTTTTTCCTGATAAAAACTTTTTTTCTATCTCGTTAAATACTTTTGTATGCTGTTGCAGGTTGCTGAGTGTATTGCAGTGTTGGGTAGCAGTGATTTCACTTGCTTAGTTGTATTTGCTAAAGTGACTTACTATTTTTCCAGACAAAAGCATATTCCATTTATGTCCCATTAAAAATGGTCATACTTGCCTATAATGATAGATTTGTTGTATTAATGCACAGTTTATTCAATCTTCAACATCGTTTCTGCATTGTTACTGGTTGCACTGTGTTACTGCGTTATTACGTTATTACTTCTCATTGCCATTGCAGGTTGCTGTGTGTGTTCCAGTACTGGGGAGTTGTGATTGCAGGGTCCACCCCAGCTCTGTATGGGGAAGTGCAGTCACCTGGTTACCCCAATCCTTATCATCCATCCCTTAATGAAAGTTGGGACCTAGTAGTACCCCAGGGGTACACCCTCAACCTCACATTCCGTCACATTGATATTGAGCCTTCACACGACTGCTATTATGACACCCTCATGGTGAGACAACTAAAAAAACTTCTGAGTTGTGTATCAGTTGTGTATCTATCTACAGTAGTTCTGTCTTCCTGAACTGTACTGTACCTCTTGTTGTTGTGATTTTTCTATGTTAGTTCTACCATTAAAGTCTGTATATTATATTAAAATATATAATATTAAGGTCTATCTTTTGAGACCCTCTGTACTGACCATACAGTATGTGTTAGTTCTACTGTATAGTAGGCTCAGTGTCAACTTATTTTATTTAAATCTACATCTTTAATAGAACAGGTGGGTAGCTGCGTCAGTATGTGTAGGCTGCAAAGGAACAAGTAATAGTTTTATTCCATGCTGAAAAAAGAAGAAAGAAAACACAACGTGCTCACACCTGAAGAAGGCTCCATGGCCGAAACGTTGTGTTTTCTTTCTTCTTTTTTCAGCATGGAATAAACCTATTACTTGTATCTTTAATAGAATGTGTATTATCTATTGGGTGTTTTTCAGTTTCTTATTTAATGTACCTTTGCTTGGTGTGGTTAAATTAGAGTCTTAATAAATTGTTCTTTTTTATGTCAAGGTGATGTTTGGAAAGAGATTTCTGGGAAGGTTCTGTGGTCACAATTATGTTTCCAAGGACGATCCCTCTGACAGCTATTCCGTCATGTCACCTGGCAACAGTCTGTGCCTTGTCTTCAAGACAGACGCCTCAACCCCAGGACCACACAGATACAGCGGCTTCTTGGCCTTCTACCAGGCTGTGGGTCAGTCTACGTGTTTGTCTTTCAGTCTTGCAGTTCACTTTGAATGTGAAAAGTGGCAAAAACTTTACTGTATCAATTAATACATCTCTCAAGGTGACAATGTAAATTTGACAATATAAATGTATTTAAATCAGGTAAACATTTTTGTGAAAACAGTTGTATTGAGATACTGTCAAGAAGGAGGGAAACCATTTTCAGTTTAGTTGAGTTCAGTTATTTTGGTCAGATTTCAATAATGACAAAACGAGCCCACAAATATAAAATAAAATAGTGTGCTCAATACATTGGTTTATTTCACCTGGCTGAGGCAATGACAAGGCTGGTTGGAGATCAGATGCAGGGAGAAAATGCTCCCTGGTGATCTTGAGGTGCTAACAGTATACAGTATTTCTGTAATGTTTCTGCTTGTACCAGTCTTCAACCTTAGTGTTGTAGGCATACCAGACTAAGCTCACTAACATAATGTTAACACTGTAGGTTGTATTTCTCTAGGTATTCAATACAACAGGCAAGCTGTTAACAAACCTTACTTTCAGAACCTTGGTTTAAGTTAAGTGAAGCTGTCAACTACAGTATTGATGATGGACTATGACCATACTGGCCTGTGACAGTACTGGTTGTCCCTCAAATACAGGATAATGTATTCTGCTATAGGTGTGGTGACATGGTAGGTCCTGTTCTGAGGAGCTAACTGTCTAAAATGTGTGGCTAGATGGTATATCATATGGAGTTTTACAAAGTTTTATCTCCTTGACATGAAGCTTCTTGATATTGAAGACTCATAGAACTCAGACGACTGAGTGCTTAGTTCTGTGAACCTGTCCAGATCTCACAGTAGCTGGTATTCACTCATTCGTGAGGGATTGGGTTCACAGCTTCCCAGTGTAGGGAACCCATATTCCATTTTAACCTTAAAGACTTTCTGAACTAAACTGAACAATCTCTCTTTATCTTGGTTCTGCTTTGGGTGTACTATAGGTTGTAGAGTTGGAAATAGTCAGTCAGTGGGTGTGTTCACCTCTCTCTTCTCTCTCAGATATAGACGAGTGCTCTGCAGAGGATGAAAATGGGCAGGCATGTCACCATGAGTGTCAAAACACCCCAGGCGGGTTTTTGTGCTCCTGTCGCAATGGATACCAGCTACAGCCTGACAACAGCTCCTGCCTGCGTACGTACACAGAGACTGAGAGATGACCTGAGAGATGAATAACACCACAAAGAAACAGACAATTTTATCCATGGTCCAGGCAGTGTACTCAATAATATTAAAGTGGTATAGACCTCTGTCTATACCAGGGGTCTCAAACACGAGGCCCTCAAAGTAATTACTGTATCTGCGGCCCGCAACGACTCATGTGCTGCAGTGCAGGCTGGGAAATGTAGGCGTGAGATGTCACCGTACCTAATTATATAGTGACTATAAAACCTAAAGTAAATAGTAGTTAATTGTTTACTCCTGTTTTGTCCCTTGTTTTGAAACCACCCTGAACCCGCCTACATGTCCTATTCACAGCCCTTTTGAGTTGTTGTGTACATCTGTTGCCTGATTGCCAGCTGACGGAGTGCTGTCAATAAAGAAAGAAGAAAGACAGAAAAGTTTCTGTGATTAGTCTCTGTGTCTGTTAGAATCATAACAGTGTTTAGCAGTACGTACGTATTGAGTTTTTCTTGTCAATGAAGTTCAACAAATCAGTTTTATGGTCAAGACTCGCCAGTGAACATTTCCGAGCAACATTGCGATTGGCTACTTCTTGTGATATCAGGCCTAACGTTGATGTTCTGGTCCTTGCAAAACACTGTCAAAGAAACAGCCAGAATGAAGAACTTCAGAAATAACCTCACATGATATCGAGGTGAAGTTAACCAACGTGTTTCAAATACAAATTTCAGTTTTAATTAATTTTTTAATATTTTATGTATTTTGTATGAATATGATATGAATGAATATGTATGAATGTGGCCAGCTGATTCGCGCATTTTATTTAATGCGGCCCCCATATTCATCTGAGTTTGAGACCCTTGGTGCCTCACTTTTGTATTTTATAATGACACAAAACACTCACAAAAAGCACTCCCTGACACAAAGAGACACAGAGATTATTTGTCGCACAAAGACAAAGTGTAAGAACACAGAGATGTGATGACGGGGACAGAGAAGATACTTTGTTGTGCAGGACCCAATGTGTTCAGTGACCTTATCCTGACTGTTGTTCCAGCTGTGGACTGTGGCTTTCCTGTGCCAAAGAATGGGACACTACGAGTGGTCAGTAAGATCCCCAAAACTCTGTATCAGAACGAGATTCAGTTTGGGTGTGAGTCCAAGTACTACAGACTGGAGGGAGACGGTAAGAATGTGGTTGGTTTTCTTCTGTGCATCTCTTATTTACCTACCTACCTCTCTCTCTATTGTTCTCTGAGACTGAAATCCCAGGAACAGAAGATAGTGCTGTAGAGTCTATTGTGATGCAATCTTGAGTTGGGGACAGTATATGATGCTATTTATACTGAATGAGCAGTCATATAAAATAATTACTCATGTATTTTTTTTAGAAATAACCACTGTTTTTAATTTCTCCTGGGGGTATTACAGTTAGCTGAGAGTCGACTTAGCAATAGAGTAAAAAATATAAGCCAAGGTGATAACTCCAGCATCAAAATGCGTAGAATAATCCATGATAAAAAACAAACAAAAAATAAATTTAACTTCCTTTCTTTAATGTGCTTCCACCAAGTTGGCTTTCATGGTATTGACCTTTCAGGGTTTGACTTGTATAGTCTGGCATGATAAGCAGATGTTTCACATTGTCTTGATGAGATAGAGACCATTTTCTTGTCATCCAATGTTAAGCCATCTTGTTAGGGGCTAGTTTTAGATTGAATAGGTCATTTTTTTTTCAATTCAGTTTAGTTCAGTTTTTTTTGTCAGCTTGTAGCTGTAGTATATAATGAGGAAAATACTATCCTTCTATTACTCTTCCCCTGGTGACATTACACTATATTAGAATACAGTGTATGTTTTAACTATGCCTCACCTGTGCCTGTAAAGTCTTATTAATCTCTTTCTAATCTCAGATGTGTACAGATGTGAAGCTCAGGGCTACTGGAGGTCTTTGAATGGCAGTCGGAATTTGCCAAAATGTGTTGAAGGTATAGTAAACTTGCTGTATTAACAAGGTTGGGGATTTTACAAATAAAAATGGAATTATGTTAGCCAATTATTATTAAAACTGCTAGTGATTTTTTTTAACTATCTACAGTATGTGATGATCAGGTTTTTTGTTTCTATCTCTGTGTCATTATACTATAGGTATCTGTTAATATACTATCAACCTCTTAGTTATTTACTTGAAGAACCTTCTTTTCTTGAACAAATCTTTGACTTTTGATAATTGTTTTCTATTGTTTTTTCTGTTTCTCCTGTTTCCTCAGTGTGTGGGGAGCCCGAGATTGGGTTCTCTGATTTTGGCCGTATCCTTGGAGGCAGTGAGGCCAAACCAGGTCAGATCCCCTGGCTGGTCTATGTTAAAGATCCAGTAGGTGCAGGGTCTCTAATCTCAGACCGATGGGTCCTCACCGCTGCTCAAGCGATTGAAGGGCAGGACAGACCAGTGCTGTACGGAGGGACAGTGGACGTTGAGAATATTGGGAGCTCTAACAGCGCTGTGATTCTGGAGAGTGAGAAGGTTTTCATCCAGCCAGATAGCCGAACAGCCCCAACAAGAAGAAAACCTTCAAATTTTGACAACAGAATCGCCCTGGTCAAATTGAAATACCGCGCACCCCTGGGACCCCATCTCCTCCCTATCTGTCTCCCCGAGAGGAAAGATGATGGGACTCTAATTCTCAATAGACTAGGGTATGTTTCTGGATGGGGCAGGACAGAAAACGGCACACTGAGCTCGAAACTGTTGTATGTCAAGATCCCTGTGATGGACAGAGACACCTGCTTCAAGAGGAAAGATGGAAAACCATTGGTGCAGACTTTCAGCGAGAACATGTTCTGTGCTGGTGAGATGGGCAAAGATAGCTGCCATGGAGACAGTGGGGGTCCCTTCTTCCTCCGAGAGTTTCAAAGAGGAGCAGGAGGACAGATAGAAAGGGGTCCATTCCGTCTCTATGGTGTTGTGTCCTGGGGAATAGTCTGTGAGGACAGAGGTTACTTCACCAAAGTAGACAATTACTTGGACTGGATTAGAGAAACTATTGAGAAAGAGGAGAGAAAAACAACATTAGGATTATAAAAGAGGGGTATTTCCCAATATGTTAGTAGAGATTGGACACAAAAGACTCCATTAAATTAGATTTGAAAGTGCAGGACCCATTCAATCTGAATTATAGTGCACAAGAAGTTACTAGATCATTTTGACATCTCTTTTCCACGTAGGCTGAGATTGGGTAGATTAAAATAGCTTGTGTAAATCACTAAAGTTTTCACTTTGAACCTTTGTATCTGATAACGGGGTTGAGCCTAGTACATTTTGTGGGGTTTCCTTGTGTAGAAATGGGAACCCTCTGTTATGAGGGATTAGGAATCGGTCTGGATTTTGAGACTAGCAGGGCATATTGCCAGTTCATTCATTACCTTCTAATCTACCCCCCCCCATCTTGAGCTGCAGAGTGATACAAAACATTAGAAGTGGTAACTTATTAGAAGTAAACCCGTGGGTTAATTTTGTATTTTGTCTACTCTAGTCAGTCTTGTAGATCACCCTACCGTTCAATTAATTAGTGGATTAATCAGTTATGTAATTACTTAATAGAATCACCTATCCCTCCCTTTTCTAACCGGTTCAACCAATTCAATGTCATCGGGTACCTGAAGCATGTCACGGTCAGCAATGCAAGGTGGGGGTACACCCTGGATGGGATGTACTGTATGCCCATTGAAGACAATATACGGACACAAACACACACACTCACACCAGGGCTAGTTTTCCCAGAAGCCAATGAACCTACCAGCATGTCTTTGGGCTGTAGGAGGAAACTGGAGCAGCCAGTGGAAAAACAAATGAATACAGGGAGAACATGCAAACTCTACCCATGAATCGAACCCAGGGCCATGGTGCTGTGAGACGGCAATGCTAAATGGACCATTTATCACCCTAATAAGATAATACATTAATTAATTGAATTATTTGTTTTTCTAGTTTTTAATGACTGTCAGGTGGAAACAACAGTGAAACACAAATCAGAAGACAGATGGATATTTTGCATGATATTATATTGAATTTCAACTTTGTTTCATGACATATACATAACTAATGATAAGCCCTGACAAAAGGGGATATAATGTGGTATGTCTACATTTAATTGCAACATTAAAACTTTCTGGATCTATATTTCTTTGTGAATTGTTATCAAATTGTGCAATGTCTGTGCAAGAGTTGGAAATGTCATTATTGGGTGTTTTCTTGTAATGCAAATCATTCTATACATTTTTGGGCTAGTTGTTTATGTGGAAAAGTACAAATAAAACACACAATATCTTAAAGCAAACTGATGTACCATGTTATATTTTATATATGGAATACAATAAAATGTAAATGAAATGTGTAAAATAAGAATACAAACAAATGGGGCATTCTGGACTATATTGTATTGAATTGGTTATGTGTTTATTTAAATAAATCAGGTTTGTACACTCTTGGTCCTGGAGAGCCAACGGTTTTATGGACAACCATTTAATTCTCCATCTCTAACGACAGCTTAAAGAGGACATTTTTTGTCACTGAATGAACACTGAGGAAATTCCAGATTTGGACGTCTGAAGAGAGAGTTTTGAGGTCAGTCTAGATCAGCCATTCATCCGACAATGACAACAATTCTCTGTCCTGGTCTGTTGGATTGTGCAGTTTTCTGTTTGAGGCCTTTGTAAAATGTGTTTTCTGCTCTTCCAGAGAATGGTAATTGGTTTGAACCCCGTGTTAACACAGTGGGCTTAGAACTGCCCTCGTTCAGCTGTGCTCGATTAAAATATCGCCAACTGAACTTCAGAAGAAGGAAAGGCACTGACTCACTGTGTGTCATTCCAGTGTCTGATCTTCATCAAGCGTGTACCTGTTAAGAGCTGCTTGTCAAAAAGTTTGGAAGAAGCAAGTTGAGGAGAGACTTCAGAATTATTTGTGTTGAGGTTGTTGGAAATAATACACTTTATGGTATTTTTTTTAATCTAAGGCTGAATGCTGTTTAAACATGTTTCCCCAGCTTTGTGTTTCACTGCTCATTTTGAAGACGTCCACTGCTAAGAGTTTGGTCCCCGCCTAGGCTTCTTTGTTCAAGATATTGTGCAGCAAAGCAGAGCAGCCTAAGCCATCTTACTCCCAGCATCATTCTTGGATTTTGTGGTGAGTTATTCTGTTGGAAGGCAGAGATTGGTTTTTGCAACACATGAGGTTTCTCGTTGTGGCCTACAAATTTCTACATTCCAGAGAACCTACTGTAGGAATTTAGGAATACATTTTCTTGGTACAGTATTCAAGATGATACAATTAAATGTAAGCACAGCACAATAAAATGAACTTCTAACAGTCTTCCAAGTTAGAATTAGGGCTCTATGGCAATCTGCAATTATTCTATGGCAACCTGTTGTCAAGGGCAGTGCAGCAAATAAAGACTGTTTTTCAAAGAATGACAAAGTGTATGTAGTTCACAAAATGTAGACAATACTTGCATTTGATTTCAATTCTATGAACAGAGATTTTTAGGAACAGAAAGTAGTATTACAAAAATTCTCTAAAAGTAATCTGATCATGTTACATGCAGTAACATTGTAGTAGATTTTAGTAATGTCATACACTTAGATATACATAGACACACCAGGTAGTAATTATTTGAAGTAGGAGATCATTGGTAGTTAATTCCACATTCTCACCTGGAGTTTTAAGTGGAGTATTTGGCTATTTACAGTAAGTAGTACTGTATATAAGGGGTTTCACTGACTTGGACGTGATTTGCTTTTTGATATCAATTTGGGAAGGTTGCATTCAAGTCTGTCTGCTGACAGTCTAGCAGTGAAGCCTCCTGCATTGTTGCCATTGTGAATTGATGTGTTTTCAAACACAGGAGACAAAGGACAAAATACTTCCTGCTAATCGTTCACTACCATATCACCGAAAAAAGTGGCATGAGAGGAGCTGAACAAGGGAAGACTACTATTACTGAAATGTTTGAGGAAATTTATGGGATTTAGAGGGATGAAAGGACCAAAAACGCCCTATAGTAAACATTTCAAAAGAGAAAGTGATCATTTTTCAGACCTTTTCAAACTTTCCAGCAAGATAGGGTATCTTGGGCGGTTGTGGGACATTGTCTGTCTGGGCCTGATACTAAGGTATGAATCAAGCCACAGATTCTTAGACCAGATTCAATAGCTTCAGGAAGACCTCCATTGATTTAGTCTTTGGAGTTGGTGTGGGACATTTTGTTTTTTACAGGTGATTGCCTGGACAGGCTGATGAGAAAACTATTTTCAGAGGCAAATAAAACCTTTTTTTGGGTCAGTCACTTGGACACATAAAATAACATAACATGGCAAATAAGTTTGACAAAGACAGTGACCCACTGTGGGCATGTCTGATCCAGCGTCATTACTATCTGTATCCTATCAACATCAAGGGATCACCTGTTAAGAGCTGTTAGTCAGGGATAATAATAAGGGAGAATTGTTTTTTCAATGAGCAAGTTGAGGAGAGATATCTGAGAATCCTTCATGCTGAGGTTGCTGGAAATAATGCACTTTATGGTAAATTTAAATCCAGGGCTTTGTAGAAAGAAGTCCAAACAGAAAGCAGATCATAGACACAGTCACCAGTAAGCACTGGTGATTAATGGCCCAGGTATAACAAATACCAGGAGACACTGGGGTCCCCCAAGACTAGCACTGAGAACTCACCCAAAAGCTACCTTTTTCCTGGTCTTTTAGGCTATTCTGGAAGTTCAAAACACAAGGTGGAATTCTTTTGTCTCAAATTTGTGTGTATTTTTCTAAATATACTGTACGCTGTTCAGAATGATTCACATTCATCTTCCTTGGCGGACTGATTGGACACCACGATACATTTTCACCGGGATTACAGATAGAGAAAATGAAAGAAGGAGGATTATGTTTATTTATCTGCCAGTCACAGTGTTATTTATCAGACTGATCTAGTTGCGCATTAAAGTTCAAACTCCAGACTGCCTGTTAAAGATTACAAAATTATAAACACGCAAAACCCACCACAACTAGGTGCCTGCTTGTCTTCCTTCCCCTCCATTTTTAAGAACAGTACTACAAATGACTCTGCCCAACAAATTATGTGGGACTGGGATCAAGAAAAATGTTTTACTCTGTTTCGGGACTGGATCGCAAAAATCCTGATGCTGTGTCAAAGTTACTTTCCCCTCGTTAAATCAACATTGACAGGTATCTGAGGCAGAAGAAATGTGGAAGGTGTACAGTCACTGATAGACCCAGTGTTTCATTATATAGCCTCCAACACTACATACAGTACCTGATTTGGACCAGAGTATTTTAGGCTAGTTGTGGTGAATTGGCAAGTGTATCTGAGGCTAATTGTTGGCACTCCCTTGTGTTCAAGGGTGATCAAAGCATGTGTTCAGGATCTGGAACGTAATTGATAACCGCCCAAGCTAATCTACAATGGTGGGGTGGATGCTAATCCGACCCATTTTTCTAGGTCATTATTTGTAATTGCAGGTTAGAATATTTGAGCATTTGTGTTTAACTTTCAGTGGTTTACTATGGTCGAGGTCTGTCCATCTGAAGCAACGGTATACTCTCATGTCCAGTTAGAGTGTTTATATTGACCTACCCCTTCTGTATCTCCTTCTCTGGCCAGTGTGAGTACGGCAGGGTGTCCGGTCTGCCAATGCGGTCTTATTGACCTTCCTCTTTCTCCAGCTGTCTCTGTCTGCCAAATTAAATAGCTGGGATGTCAGTTGTTTTTTATTTCCAATTGACTTTTCAGCTCTTCGTATTTTAATTCCCTCATTCCACCCCTTCCTCTGCTACCTTAGGAAAGGAAGACCAAGGAAAACATTACCTGCTACGGTTTTGTCTTTTGTTTGATCTGTAAAAGGGAAAATATAGCACTATCTGGACTAACAGCATTTTTACAATTCTATTAAAAAGCAGCTAGATCATGGGTCCACTCACCACAGACATCTGGTGAGTCAACACATTACATTACCAGATTGTTGTTGTGTTTTCAAATTACACTGCATTTGTGTTCCTGTTTCGATAAGTGAATTTCTGTGTGAGTCTGTCCTCCAAAATGCTGTACTTTAATTTGGTGTGTTTTTGATGTAGGGTCCAGCATTTTTATTATTGCTTTATTATTGATGAACAGCTCCTTCTAAAACTGAGAAAACAGTTTTCTTAGCAGTAATGTGTGTTCATGTTTGGGCATGGTTTCTACAGGTCTGTCATAGTAAAAACCTCCTTCCACCATCAAATAGTGGATTTACATGTATCACAATGTCACCATAAAACGTCTGTGGCTGGATATCAATCTTCTGCACACCTGTATTTGTATGGGTTTTTGAAAATGGAAAATGAGGCCACACTGTATCAGGTGCCTTGATTTCAACTACTGTACCTGGCTGTTCAGGACATTCACAACTAGTTGAGTCCAGAGCTCTTTCTATTATTTAGCGGTTTGGAATTAACTTGTATAGTTAAGGAAAATGTACCTATGAAATATGGTGAAGACTCTGATAGAAGTTAGGTTTTGTTCTGGTTATTTTGGTTCAGAGCAAAGAATTACTGAGAAAACAAACTTTGTAACAGAAGATGAAATTAACAAGCAATTTATTGATCTACTGTGTGACGCTCCTTTTCTATCTTTGAATCCTGGGCTGTTTGGCTCAGTGAGTATCTATTAAACCATTCTGGACATATTTTCCTAGATTTGAATCACATTGTTTGAGGAGCAAATTCGTTTTGAACCTTCATCGTTTTTGAAGAATGATCGCTTTTCTTCTGCTGAAGACTAATTGACGAATTGCTCCACTAAGACTTTGATGGATGTACTTGTGTGCACCGTGATGGTCTCTGCTATTACAGTTTGCTGTTGTTATTAGCCTGCTTTTTGGGTTATTTTATTTAGGAGTGTTATTTCTGTCTGTCTTAAATTATTCCTCTTGTAAAAAGTATATCATTATTGTAGTATTGGAAAAGTGTTATGATATTACTTTTTGTTGTCGTATTAGGTTGTTGTGTGTGTCCCAGTGTTTGGCAGTGGCACTCTCAGGGTCTTCCCCTGTCTTGTATGGAGAAGTACAGTCACCTGGTTACCCAAATCCCTACCCTGCCTCTCTCAATGAAGTGTGGGACCTGGCTGTACCTCAGGGGTTCGCCCTCCAACTCACCTTCCGATACCTCGATATTGAGCCCTCGCAAGATTGCTACTATGACTCTCTCACGGTAAAAACTAAAAAACCCTGATGATGCACTGATGCCCTAGGTGCCAAATAAATCTGTCTGTGTCAAGAGTGTCTCCTGATTCTCTTTTACTCTTTACTTTTCTCTCTTTCTGAGCAGGTGATGTCTGGTAAGAAGGTTCTGGGAAGGTTTTGTGGTCAGAATTCTGCTGATGAGCATCACCCTGGCAACAGTCCCATCCTCTCGCCTAGCAACCATCTGCGCCTCATCTTCCAGTCAGACTCCTCCTCTCCTGGGCCTCATCAGCACATCGGATTTAAAGCCTTTTACCAGGCCATAGGTCAGTCTGGTTTCACTGTGCCCATATGCCACTCCTAAACTATAAGTTTCCTTTTGTCTGCATTCGTGAACACGGCTGCACTAGGCATTTGTCTGCCACTCTCGTTCATTTGCTTTTTTCTACCTGTGTAGCAGAAATGTACTGTGTCGGATAGCCACTCAGTCTGTCCATCATGGCGGCTGTGTTCACTCCCTCTCTCAGATGTGGATGACTGTGCGTCACCGTTGCAGGAAGGGGAGGAGCCTCTCTGTCAGCACTATTGTCACAATATCCTGGGAGGATACCTCTGCTCCTGTCGCCATGGATACGAGCTGCAGCCTAACAACAGGACCTGCCAATGTACGTCCAGACACTGAAGCTTTTCCTGCCTCACTATGTTCACTAGAATAAAATACTGTGAGTGTTCCTGCCTAGAAAGACCCTTAAGTGAAATCCTTTAAAAATTGAAACATTTAAAAGTAACAAATATTGTCCTTCAGTATCTGGTTAGTAGGT